AGGAGGAAGAAGGAGGGGGAGGAGGAGGAGGAGGAGGAACGGGGGGGGGAGTACTAGTAGGGGGAGGGGCTGAGGGTCTTCTTGCAAGGGAAGGCAGATAAGACCTTTGTGTCTAACTTGAGGCAACACTTGACCCCTAGATAAGAACACAACGCAGGGCTAAATGTGTTGCTTGTTGTGGCTCTGGATCTCCTCAACACTCGATACCCTCACCAACACCACCAACACTACCACACAACACTGATAATTGATCATTATCAGTGTTGCGTATGAGTGTATTCTGGTGTATCATTACCTGTATTGAATAGTGGTGTTAGTTCTCAATAGTGTGAACCTGTTTTAAGTGTTAATGGTGTGGAGTATTATATGAACGATTAATGTTGCGTATATATGTATTTCTCAATATAGTGACCTGTAATTAGTGGGAGGGAGGGGGGGTTACAGCGTATATTTATATGATGCGTATTATATTTTCCAGTGATAGGTAATGCGTATTCTTGTAATCACAGACTCGGGATAATTTTCAAGCGTATCGCGTAATCGTATTGTTTGTTGACCTTCATTAATCCGAGTGCTTTTGGAGTACTGCGTAATAGTAGACTCCCTGGTGAGAGTCACTTGAGCAAGAATACTCATCAGATATTTATTACGAAGGTGTTTTCAATCTAACTGGTGGTGAAGAGGAGGGAGAGGATGGGATGGGAAAAGGGAAAAAATAAAGGAGAGGAAAGGTGGGGAAGGAAAGGGAGGGAGAGGAGGAAAGACGGTAGAAGGGATGATAAGATGGAAAGGTGGACAAGGATGAAGAAAATAAATCAAGAAGACAAAATAAGAAAATATAACAAATATAAAATGAGGAAGTAAGGTTGTCAACAGATCGTCTTGGCATTAAATTCCTTCTTCAGCACACAAGAGAAAAGCCATTATAGCGGTCATGAGTGTAATGATCCATAACATGACCACCATATACTAGTGATGAGGTCATGCGACGCTCCTCCCCTCCACTATGCTAAAACATTTCTCAATAAGATAATTCACAAAGGTTCATTATCTTTTTTTTTTTATGTCCGCTGATGAAAAGATGAATCGTAATTTGTGTAGCTGTTACGATTTTGTTCCCTCCCTTTATTCTTTCATTTTATGTCTTGGGGGGGGGGGGGTGTAGTGAAGATGTTGTTTCGTGTTTGTGGTGTTGCTTCTTCCTCTTTTCTTTTTGTTCTCCTTCGTCTTGACTGTTTCTTCTCGTCTTCTCGTCTTTTAACACTCTTTGTACTCATCATCTTATTGTGGTGTTGCGTGTTCCATGTTTCTTTTGTCTCTTGGTGTCATCCATTTGTTCTATCAGAAGGAAAATATGTTCATGTTGTTATGTCCTATTAAACAGATGTGTAGAATAGGAGTAACAACTTGCGATACCATGGCGCCACCTCGTCTAGTGTCCTTTCATAGGCCAACCCGAGAATAGTCCTTTACTGCCACATGATAGGTATACCCCATGACCTATTTTCTACGAATAATACTCCCTTCGTAGTCTATTCCATAAGCATATAGTCTAATGATTCTCCGTAGCTTATCCGTAAAGAGTAGACTCCTCATTGGGGTACCCAGGGAGAATGTCCACCATAGCGAGTCTTTGAGGTACCTACAGGGTTCTCAATGTTGTCGTACACAGAGACCCATCAGTAGCTTGGCTGTTTCTATCATCCGCCACCAGTCCCCAGGAATAATAACATCACAAGTCGGACTAATGGACAAGAGCGGACGATCCATGCCTCATCCTGTCCTCATAAGGGAACAATTGATCCTAAGGAGACAGGCTGAGAGACGCAAGTTGCGGGCCTGACAGGAGGACCCGTCTGGACAAGTGCCAGCGGTGTTCCTACCTGGCGGTGACAAATGCCCCACGTCACGGGTCTCTGAAGGCACTGCTAAGCTGGGGTGGGGAACAGGGACGGGCGGGTAGGTAGGGGACAGAGAGGGGAGGTGGGGGCGCTCGGGGTACCAGTCGTGGCCCCTCCCTGACTACACGGTCCCTCGACAGCCTGGAGGTGGTCTGGGAAAAGGCGCTGCGGTGTTTACAATTATCTTTTGATTGTGCACCTGAGACATGCTGGGCCTGTGACACTGGCTGATGTTGCTGCCTCGTGTTGCTCCTCATGATGTGGGGGGACAGCCACAGCTTGCCTTGCCGCTTGTCTACTGTTTGTTTTATTTTTAATTAGTCGAATGCTATTATAAATCACGCCAACGATACGAGCTCATTAGATTCCCAACTTAACTGCTGGTTTTTTTATTGTCTTCGTAACACTAAAGCTTTCATCGTTTTTTTATCGGTTAGCGGGAGGGAGCTGGCGGATTTATGCGCAAAGAGTTTTTGACATTAAAAAATCTTGTAATTCTTCACACGGTGTATTTGTCGCAGTGTCATAGATGCTTTTTCCCTGAGGATTCTTGCCGTGCCTTAAGAATTCTTTCTGCGATTTGAAAAACTTGTACCGGATTTTTTTTTAATCGCAAACTCATTAGCTCTAATTATATTCTTTGGGGGAAATTAACAAGAAACGGTTAATTAAATGATGAGATAGTTTATGATGCAATCTTTCCCAAACAGCAGAGTATCCTGACGAAGGAGACACAGCCTCACACTGCATACCTCCTTCCTCCTGGCTCACGCATATCTCACCATGAAGCTCAGTTGTACATTACATTTCACCTGTCGGCTCTCCTCCCTGTACACCTTACCCCCTCAGCTATCTCTCTGCTCTACCCGCCCCATCACTCTACACTTCACTCTCCTCCAGAGTAAACCAGTACGACAATACCTTTGTGCCATTACCCTTATAGTTGCTTGGAAATGTAGATTGTCCATCTTGGCCAAGTAAATAGGTAGGTTGTCGTGTGGGGCGGTGTTGGTTCTCACAGCCGCACACCATCCGGGTTGGGCCAGGCCCCGGCCATAACTCTAGAGGGTAGCGGCGCCCTCCGACGGCTCCCAATGCGGCAACAAGAGCAGATCGGGTGAATGAAGAACCAGACCTTGTTGGGCGGTTGACACTCTGGCCAAGATTAAGCCCGTAACTCGTCCACCAGGAGACTGGAGATAAGGACTGACTTATGTGATTATGTACCAGCAAGGACACAACCAACAGCCAACGCTAACAACATCGTAATCGCTATTTTACTCAGTCGATCGAACGCAAGAGAGAGAGAGAAAAAAAAACCGGCCGGACATATTTTAAACCTACAACAAACTCACCCTGGGTCCCGGAGAGCATACATACCTCTGCACAACAGGTACCAGTGGAAAGCCAGCCGGGACCAGCTCTTTCTTGCAGGTCCCAGGTAGGTAGGTCTTGGCAAGGACTTTGAGTAGCCGTATCTTGAGCCATCCCTCAGCGGGGTTTGATACGTGTCCGCTGTCGCAGCCACAAAGACAAATGTCTCGGGACTGCGGGAGGAGTGACCTGGGGGAGGGGGGTGACTCTCAGCTTCCCCCTTGACCATCTTCTCTATCTGTTTGTTGTCTGGTTATATACAAACTCCAGATGAAAAAGAAAATAAATAAACTTTACCCAAAATTTAATATCTTCAGACTCCAGTGAGGTTTTTTTCTTTTACATGTGTTTATTCTTTTTCTACGTGTTAGGGGGTTGGCTGACACACGCTTATTATTCGCCAACCAGCGCCAGTCACTGATAGTGTGTAAGGTGGGCTATTATACGGTGACTCACTCTCTCTCTTTTATTTATTTCCATTTTTCTTTCTTTCTCTTGTTGTCATTATCCACCATACCACCACTATTAACCCACCCCCATCCACCGTACCCCATTAACCCACCCCCCATCCACCGTACCCCATTAACCCACCCCCATCCAACCATAACCCACCCCCATCCACCGTACCCCATTAACCCACCCCCCATCCACCGTACCCCATTAACCCATCCACCGTACCCCACATTCATGGCAGCAGAACCACCGTAACTTACCCAGGATTTATCGAGCGTCATTCACAGTTGTGACTCTGGCAATTTATTTATCGGAGGAGCCATTGTCCCAACACTGTCACAGTCCTGCAAGGCCTCCACACCTGCCTCACCACACACACACACACACACCTGTCTCACCACACACACACAAACACACCTGCCTCACCACACACACACCTGCCTCACCACACACACACACCTGCCTAAACACACACACACACACACATCTGCCTCACCACAGACACACCTGCCTCACCACACACCTGCCTCACCACACACCGCCTCACCACACACACACACAGCCTCACCACACACACACCACACACCTGCCTCACCACACACCCAGCCTCACCACACACACCTGTTGCTTTAAACTCTTGTTAATTTAAGATAAGACACTATATTGCCTTTTGTTATCGTGTGTGTGTGTGTGTGTGTGCGTGTGTGTGTGTGTGTGTCTTCTCTCCACCATCACCCCAATTCTCCGGGCAATAGACTGTGTTAGGTTGAGGTCTCCACCCCTACACTCTCAACACCTCCTCAGTGTCAACACACAGACGCGCCAGGATTATATTAGCTCTAATAATGTGACAATTTATTAGACTAAACCCTTGAGGCTCCATATATAAGATGTACTGAAGGATTTATGTAGCTGTATACCTGTCATAGATGTGTATTTTAACCTTACTCGCAGCTATACACGCTTCTGTGTTTGTCAGGTATACTTTGTTATTTGAATATACATTTGCCGTCTCGTTAATGTTGTATGAATGTTTATTTGTTATCTTGTATGCAGGTAACACATTATGACAGTAATGTTCGATGTACTTGAATGTTTATTGGCAAGCAAATTGATCTATCTACACTACAGATTTCACATTTATGCAAATTGCACTACAGAGGCCACAGGTGCAGCTGATCAATATTCTGTTTATTCATTTATTTGAAGTTAATTAGGAGAATGCAAATTACTAGTAGCATTTCCCTTAATCAGATTGTTATCTCTTTTCAGGTACGCGTGTCCACAATAGCTGTCCCTGGCAGACCCCACAACCCAGGGGAGTCGGCCACATAATACCTCACCAGCAGTCACCTCTCCAGCAGTATATCTCAGGTGCGTCTTGTACCCAGGTTCTTGATCTACCTTGATACATAGAACGTCTCCACAGGGTGTACTGAACATCTGTAGAGGGTGTACTGAACATCTGTAGAGGGTGTACATCTGTAGAGGGTGTACTGAACATCTGTAGAGGGTGTACTGAACATCTGTAGAGGGTGTACTGAACATCTGTAGAGGGTGTACTCGTCCACACTATCCGGGAATGTATTAGATTACTGTAGATCTGCTCAAAATATCAAAATATTTTTATATAAGGACAAATATGGTTTTCGTGGTCTGGGTACATAGTTTATAATGTGCGTTTTTTTTTTTTTACGAAAGATATTAAAGGTAAAATATTGACAAGGTGTTCTGCATATTGGTTACATAGACAGCAGCAAGACTTAGAGGTAAGCAACGGCTGTGATAGTTGGTCAGTAGTGTTTCGTGGGTTTTCCCCTCAGTAAGTCATAGGGCTAAGTGGTGCAGTTAGTGATGGTGGCGAGGCAGTGTGTTATGAGTGAATGATTCTAAGTTCTTCTGCTGCCATTAATATGAGGCGCTTGTGATCTACATTTATCTCTCTCTCTCGCATTCTCTTGCTGACCTATCTTCTCCGCCTCTTGCAGTTCTCCCCTCTTAACCCCCACTTCTCTCATTTCCTCTTGTCTCCCTCTTCCCCCTTCCCCATCTCCCCTTGGAGGAAGACTCGACCAATTGAGTGAAGCCCCGACAGGAAAAAGTTGGTGAAACCCAATCATGTCAGGAGGTGTATCTGATAGCGCGGCCGGCGTGACCCAGCGTTCCCTGCCCCTGTTCCCGCTAAACCTTCCATTTATCATCCCACTTACCAACCATGTTTCAACCTGTTTTTAACCCACTGTCAACTTTGATTGTTTGGTACATAGCGTCGAGGAGTTCGCGCCAGGTTAGAAGAGAGCCGATAAGAATATCATTGATGCAAGTGTTTGTTTGGAAAAGTGGTGTTTGGCAGCGGGGCGGGGCAGGGGTGGGGAGGGGCGGGGCGGGGCGGGGGGAGGAGGAGACGGGGGCAGCCATACACAAGACAAAAACGCATGGAGGAGATATCCTTCACAGACACACGGACGTAAGCGCGGGGTGTTAATCAAAATACAGGGGCTTCTTCTTCGTCTCGCAGGGGATCATATTTTTTTTCCCCCGCTGGCTGGGTAGTTTAGACGGGACAAATTAATCCTGTGATGGTCGATAGCGTTGATGTTTTTCCTGTCGTTTGATGTCCGGAGGGCGCGGGGCAGGGCGGAGAGGGGGTAGGGGATCAAGGGTGGAGAGAGGGAAGGAGGGGGGTGTTGCAAGGCGGCCTCACGATTACCTTGTCTTGTATTGATGGCCGGTGACGGGAAAAACGACTGACGCTTAACAGATGGACACTGACGTACGGTACATGGAACGTGGGAACCTGAAACAACGTGACGGCCACCAAGACTTACAGTAAAAACATCTGGAGCACTTCAGGTTCACCGCCTTAGTTAAATTCACTCTTTTACTCATCTGCTGACGGATCCACCTCCTGTTCTTAGTATTTTATCTCATCTCCATCTATCGTAAGAAAAAGAATATCAGATATAATACCGACAAATACGTCGCCTGAGGTATTCACCCCAGCGCTCGCTTAGTCCAAGACACGCTCGAAGCCTTCATAAAACTTCCAATTGGTAACCGAGTATGGCAATCAGCCTTCATAAAGTTTTGAATTGGCAAACTTGTATCGTCAGTGTATATATATATAAGGTCGGGAGTACGTCCGCCTGGCAGGGCGTTAATAAACCTCTGTTGGTTGCGGACGCTCGGGCAAAGGTGTTGAAGGACCTCCACAATTGGGATTAAGAACCCTCTAGGACCTATATGGAATCCTTCAGACACCCTCCACGGGGGTTGGAGTGGCCGGGGCCGAGTGGCACCCCTGGGTGTAAGAGCTGTTTATCTTAGCTGATATAAGGCTGGCAAACCCACTTCATGTAGCCGCCACAAACTTGCGCTCTGTCACAAGTTTTGACGGTTCTGTCGCAGTTGGTAGTTCTGTCACACTGGCGTTGTTACAGGTGTTGGTGTTATCATCGCTGATGGTTTTGTCACACTTGGTTCGGTATGTCTCTGTTTCTTGTGTTTCCTCTAGTGATCCTGACGCTGCTACTCACCACAACACTTGTATCATCAAGGTCGGAATGAAGGAGTTTATACTGAGTACAACATTCCACAAACTCCTCAGCTCCTTCAATTATTCACTCTATTTACTCAGCTACAATACGCGCCTTAACACCTTGGTTGTTGAAGTACAGTAACATCAACATCTACCATAAGTGTTTACTATAGCTTCTTCCTGACCAATCATCAACATCTCTAAACACTCTCTTCACATCACATCACAGAAACTTGCTAACATTCATACCACTGCTAAAGAAAATGAATAATTCCAATAAAATAATCACCAACTTCGTCAGCATTCGGTAGTGTGGCTTCCTTGGCCGCTCCTCCCTCTGTTGTTCACCTCTATCGATCAACCATCAGACTACAGTAATCAACCCTTGCTGTATCTCCTGAAATTTACAAATTATCTGAAGAAAAAAAAGTTTGGCCTCATTCCTTGCTTGCAAAATTACCTGATAGTTTTCCCTTATAGTTCTCATGCACCTTTCATTCCTGTTTGACTACATGGTTCACAATAGTTCTGGACGGGTATTTCTCCCTCATTATTGTATCACTAAATTAAATCCAGGATTATCAGGGTTTCATACTGGTGACAAACAACTTACTTCTTTCTTATATAGGTGATCCAATCCTATATAGTCACTTTAACCTCACAATTGGTCATACTCTTAACGACTCCCGCTATACTCTTCCATAATTTCTCGTCATTAACAAACATCTTCTATCCAGTAAACTTATAAAAAAAAGAGAAATGTCGATAATTATGAAATGAATAACTTTCTTCACAACTTAACAAACTGTTTACTGTAATTATGGAGTTATACAATATCTTTTGATCAGAGTATAAGCTTTTTTTAATATAAATTTGAGTTATGGAGAATAACTTGTGTGTGTGTGTGTGTGTTAGTTAAACTTGCAAGATGACCATTAGCGCGGTAACCATAACGCCTGACCTATTTCACGAGGGATAAAGCTTTCGAGAACTTCATTTGTCTAAACGTTTGATGCCATCACTCTACACATATAATAAACTATCTATTTCCCACTAAGAAGTAGATTGCAAGTTCACCACCACAGTAATACATTGGATCCATTCCCGCTGACTCCACTTACCGCCAAATAGCTCTTGCTTACCCACCAACAAGTAATTGACAACATACGTACACACACTTGCCTAACATACCGATGATGCAGACTGTTAGTGTCTAGTGATGTTCTTCTCCTTTGCCATTAACAAGGATGGAAGGAGTCAGTATGGAGAGCCAGAGACTACACCCATATACTGTATATGGCTCGGTGTTAATTTCTTAGCCATCTCCTTTAATTTGTTATGAACGTTCATCATCTTATGGTGCGCGACCTATGAGCCACCTTGTTCATACGAGTCCTGCGTGTTTGCCTGAGTAGCCACGAGTAAAACAGTGAGGGTTGCTCCGGCTTGTAATGAGTTCCATCAGCGTTCGAGGTCCAGCATCTTGCTTCAGCCCACAGGTTGCAACCCGTTTGCCAGAGACTTGCCACTCGTGGTTGCAGCGTCAGGACCTGGATACTTAGTGGGTCATACGTTGATTATGTCCACCAAAATAAGGAAAACTCGTGTATTAATAAGTTTGAAGTGTAACAGCTATGACAAAAAATGATCTAGGGATGTTTTTTTTTCGGATCAAGTGTGATATTGAACTGATATAGTTGACTGTTCCGTGGTGTTTGTTTCAGAGGATAGGGACAGAAGCGGTAGGATGACGTCAACGTTACTAGTGACACATATGTTCATGGTCATTGTCACTAGTCATGAAGGAGGACTGAAATAGTCCCATATATCAGCCGTGGCTCTGTAACCCCAGGCGGCGTTACTCAAACACTGTAACCTGACCAGATATCCCTCCTCCTAGTGACATGCCTGGCACTTGACATTATTAGGGACCTGCCACACTTTGCCATAAACAGATAAATTGTACCGGGAATTTTCCCCCCACACACTCATCATTCTGTCACTTTATGTAACTTGCTGACAAAACCCATGACCCTTCAGGCCTTTTACGCCCTTAATGCATGAGTCATAAAGGCAAGCATGAACTCCGCATGCTTCCCAGTTGGGCACTGTAAACGCTTCTGCGCTTCATCTTGCACAGGATGTAAGGAGGTGCCCAATAAACTAGCCCCCTCGTGGGCAATCTTTAAAATCTGTAACATGTTGATGATATCCAACCACGACCTTGACTGAGCCTCGAGTTGTTGTCGTCAGCAGGGGGTCAGCTGCGTCAGCCACGAGAGGCTCTTCCTCGAGACACATGGCACCAAGTTGTGAAAGGCGCTGGGGCCAGGGAGGCCTTAAGGGGTTAAGATCATTTTACATACAGATATCTACTGGGAATATTCGATTACAAACGATATTTATTTTTTCCAACATCTACCCGTATTCTGGGACTTATCTTCAAGGAATGTCCGCGGAGGTAAATAATGTACACACAAGTTCTTATGACTGATAATATTAATATTGGACTCAACTTGATGTATGAAAATGAAACATGTGCCGACTCTTGTGTCATCAGAAAGAGACACCTGTGTAGGTGTCTCTTATCTGGTGTTGACCCCACGAGCGAGGGGAGCACTGTACACCCATGTTTCTGTAGTAATGTCGGTTGCCACACATACACACACACACGCAGGGGCGAGTCGTCCAGCTAGTCAGCTACAGCCAAGCCGTAGGCTTACTAGGCTGGGCGTAACCCCTAGACACACTCCCCGCGGGGCACATGACCAAGGCACGGCCTATACGTTCTACAGACACAGTGACACACACAAGACGTACGTAAACGGCTGAGCCCTCCTGGGGTGTCCATCGGGGCGGGGTGAGGGAAGC